TGAGGATTGATATGGTGCAGCAGAACGTCCGGCAGCAGTGCGCCTTCCGGTGGGGTTTGTGCTGTTGGAAGGAAGGCGGGAGGGTTGCGGGCTTCCGGGGCTCGGGACGCGGAATCGGGAGGTTCGGGTCCCGGTAGCCGGGCGGCTTTTGTAGCGGCTGTGATGGTTGACCGGTTGACATTTTCTATAGGTCCTGAAAAATGCATAGAGAAACAAAGGAATTTAATCGTCAAAATTCATCATAAATTTTGTTAAAAAATGAATGAGAAGAAAGGCGAAATTTCATGCACCTCGAGTCAATTTTGCTCTAAATTGATGGAATTTATCTTATTAATTTGGGAAAGATATGAATAAAAAAAAAAGGTTAATTAATTGAAGAAGATGTGTTGTGAAAATGTAGGAAAAAAATGGCTGTACGTTGATGTTTCTTGGAGAATTAATGGCGAGGGATTATGAGTAATGATAAAAATCTTATCGAAAAACGAATAGAGAGAAAAGGGTGAAGATTAACAAGAGGTGAAAGGTGACGGGATCAAATCAAATGTGAGGTGAATTAAGGCGAGATTTGCGCTGGCGGCAAACATTTCAACCGACTTAACGGAAATAAATAAGTAGAATGGTAGTTCAATTGTCAATTATCATTATCATTTTTATTTTAGACCGCTTATTTTTCCTAAATAATGATGTTTATAGGCTGTCTAATTGTACATAGATATCTCAAGCTTTTAGTGAAAAATGTAAAATGCTATATAATATTTTTTTATATTGTATTTTAAAGTAAAATATTGAATTTGTAAAATTATATATATGTAGTTTGTGAATATAAAAAAGACGGTTTAAGGAGAATGAAGAAAATGAAACAAAAATCAAAGTCGAGGCACGTAATTACGTTCTCCTTAAGAAAAAAATTGCCCCGTAACATACCCACGATTAACGGCAAACGCCTCCAAGATATGACTTTCGACTTATATATAGCGGTACTTCAAATATAAAAGTCTTCGGCGAACACTATTATTGTTTGGAACTTTCAAAACTCAATGAAAAAAATCATAGACCACAATATAGCAATGATCTTTGAAAAATAATGCAAGAGTTCTCTAATTTTCATGTTTATAATAATTTCAAGTATAGGTATTTATAGATGTAGGAGAACACCTCGAAGAAGTTTAATTGTCAATAGACACCTTTTTGGATGTACCCAAATGAGAATGGACGCATCTAGAGGCCAAAAGACACCTTCTAGTCACCAAAGGATGTGACCTTTCGGTTTTCGCAGCCTGTTGCGAGCCCGCGCGCCGCGGGCTTGTACGAGCTCATACAGACTCAGAATCAAGTTCTGTTTTTTCCTACTCGTCCCCAACGAGCCCTTCTACAATTCTAGCATACATAATGCATGATTATGGCTTGTTTA